TAACACATATGTATTATATATATAATACATTACAATATAGAATACACATATATGATATATATGAATTATATAATCTAATAAGTATTTTCTACTTATTTTAATAAGATTTCTTTTCATATTCTTACCATTATGAAGATAACCATGTGGAATATATACCACTTTCTTCATATGAATGTTACTTAATAGAAGACTTAAAGTTGAATATTTAGTTCTTACTGTAGTATTGTATAATTTTGTGGAAATATTTCTCACAATTTCTCAGAATTACATGGTCACTATAATGAGTTAACTGCAGGAGTAGAAGGAAACTGTTCATTTAGTTATTAAATATAATTAGGACAGGTTCCAAAGAATGTTTTTAAATAATTTCAGCATTCCCTCAAACTAGATTTCTTATCTTCAGTTTGCACTAATGTGGTCAGTAATTTAAAAAAAGGCAGTAATTGTCTTTCGTGTGTTCAGATGTTGGTCTAGAACTGCCGGGTTTTGTTTGCAAGGAAATGAGGAGATTCTCCAGGGTGCAATGATTAATAAGCTCTATTTTTTTTTTCCCCTGGAAAAACCATGGTGAAACTGGAGACTGAGTTTGTAAGAAATGCTGTACTTATTTCTACATCCTTGATTATGGCTGTCTTTAGCAACTGAAGCTGCCAGATGAATTGGTGGCTCCAGCAGAAGTCAAGAGTTTCAAGTAAAATTATATGCCATTAACTGATTAAAAGGCCCTCACTTTCAGGCAATTTTCAGTCCCTTCCACAGATTTTTCAGTTATTTTAAAGAGTATTCATGCGTACCTGAAGTAGTAGTTGTGGGCTGACTTGTAGAACCTGGGAGCTGGGTTGTTATAGAGCTACCACATTTAGAGATATTTCTGTTTATTGTTCCATTGACATCGCATGTTGCACTGAAACACCATCCAACTCCATCTGTGGTGGTGTAGATGAGTTGGCCATATTTATAGCTGTTCCCTTCATAAATGCAGTAGCATGCTGTAATTCAGAAGAAGTTTATTGTCAGGCATCTATGAAAAGATAATATCCAGTATTTAATTTTCTTAATAATTCTTCTTAGCTGTCTTACCTTTATCATCAAACTTGCACTGTAAACCTTCTGATGTGCATTCACTGAAATAAAAAAACATTAAAAAGCCACATATTTTTTGATTATGAAGTAATTTTATTAGTCATCTTTCTGCCAGACACTAACATCAAAAGACAGGACACTTTATTTGTGTTTATTCCTTGAGTGTCCAGTTCATGTTGGCTTCTTTTTTTGCCATTGTTTTCCAGAATCTTTCTTTATATTAATCCCAAACTTATAAACAGAAGTGAAGCTAAGTATTATGCAAAGCTACAGGTAGAATTCTTATGGAAGACTTTCCTTCTTTCCTTCTTATCACTTTCCTTGCACTTGCAGTGTTTTTGTACTAAAAAGCAGGTGGAAAGAGTCTAAATACTGTGAGCAGTGTAAGAACGTAACAAAATCCTTGGAAGTAGACACCTATTAGATATCTATACTCCTGGGACAGTATTTTTCTTGCCATAGGAATGGGAAATAGAGAAAGCCTGGCCATAAAGGACTTACTGTTCTTGTTGTACCTTTATGCTGAGGATTTACAACATAATCAGGAACAAATTCAACAGAACATAAAATCACAGAATAACTTCTTACTACTAATGTAGTAAGAAAACTGGCTTTAGATAATAAGGCATTATTTTTACACAGCATAAACTAGTCCTGTCATGTAACAAAAACATGCAGTTTCCTATTGCTGTTTTGATTTTTTTTTTCCTTGTACACAATTAGGCTGGTATGTTAAGTCTTACCATAAATGACATTCATCCCGTCTATATATTTTTCCATCTTCATTATCAAAACAGTCACAGAGACTGACGCACTTCATCTGATCCTCGTGAAAATATGGCTTATCTGGTGGGCAGTTAGGGTAGCAGCCTGAAGGAAGGAAAAGGGCACAGAGAAGGTAGAACAGGTGAGAATGAGATACAGTTAGCAAAAGTTTTATGTGTTTGCAGGTCTTGTTTTTAATAGTCATAATTTTTACTAGTTTTTTTTTCCAATAATTCTAGGAAGTGATGCAGAGTACTAGCATCAGCAAAGCCCACCCACAGGGACTTAGTCCTAGAGATGTTTTTAACTCCAGTTTCCATACTCTGCCTCCATTCATGTGGATGCAGTGATGTTGAAGAGAATTGCATGGTGCAAATGCAGCTGATGGGGGAAATACACTCCATTTAAGACCATTATAAATATAATAAAATGTACCCACTTAAAGGTACTTGCAGTTCTTTTTACCTTCTAAACCTGGCAAGTTATGGAGGCATTTTCCACTTGGGTTCCTACAGGTCTTCATACAGGAGGCTCCACAAGGCTTATAGTGCCATTCACATTCCCCGTTTTGATTGTAGTAATCACAGAACAGTGCTAAGGAGAAACAGAAATTTGGACATGTTCAGCTTTTTTTTGACTCATGTCTGTTCATCATATCCCTGTAATGCTGGTTGAACAGTCTTGAAAACTGTGAATGAATAGGTGAAATTGTGTGACCATCAAAACAGCTTAGTGCGAAAAGTCTACACAGGGAGATTACAATGCACATATGTAAGATACCCAGAGCGTGTGTTCAAGGACATCAGCAAGGCACTGTACATTTAACTACACTCTCAGAAAAAATGTTTATGGCATAAAACTCACGACAGATTGATGGGGTTCTCCAGGCTATGCAGACACCAACTTCACTACATGCTTGAGCATAGGCAGCTACTGCTGTACAAAAACAGTCACAGTCTCCTCCAGTGTCACATGCACAAGCATCTGTCACACATGCTTGGTAATATTTTGCTGGTTCAACCTGTTATTAAAAAGAAATGTAATACTATACATCCTGCCTTCTAAATGCTTTCTTAGCTTCACTAGGATAATTTTCTTAAAATTGTAATACCTCAGAAGAAAGGCCTACATCAGTAATTTCTTTTCCTTTTGTTTATACACACCGTTAAACGCCAGAGGTGATACCAGATGATACATCCAAATCACGTATTGACAGACTTTTAGACACCCAAACTTGTGTCCTCGTGGAAGATTAGATTCATGTTCCCAAGCAATATTAGGCAACTAATAGTGGAAAGAACTAAGGTAATAGGAAGAGCACAGATTTACCTTCGTTTTTTGGTATGTACTTAGTGTCAGATAAAGGCTATGCTGATACTTCATTACTATGTTAGTATTTCATTGAGCTTGTGTTCTGTACATGGTATATGAGAATTTTTATTCAAGTCACACTACAAGAAAATACATAGTAATTATGAAATTATTATTCTTTTGTAATAGGTCAATATTTCCTATGAACTAACTGTTCTTTTTTTTTCTTACAGCTAAGGAATATAGATCTGTCCCATTGAGCGGGATTCATACTGAAGTTTTCCTGACACAATTCAAAGTGAAACATGCTAATGAATTAGGCGTGCATGTTAAAATGTATGAGGATAGCAGCTTCAGTAATACATAGACCTAGTCTTCACACAGTAAACTTCTACCCTGATAATACCTGCGAGTGACAGGCAGCAAAGACGTTGCTGTTGATGATGCTACACTGCTTCTCTGACCAGGACTTTCGATAAACGTTGGTAGAACATGGGTCCTTTATGCTGTAAGCATCAGGACATGTAGAAGATACTTTCCAGCTGTTTCCAAACTCTAGGACATTCTCTACTACAGACTGACTCCTTGTAGTAAAGTCATTGATGCCGTTGCCATCATAATTTCCACAAAGACCACAGATCTGGCCCTGCAAAAGGAAGTAAATAGAATAATAATGGATGTGAGAAAACTTCAAACAACATCTGAGACTGAAAGAATACTTGAAATTCAGCTCTTAGAATGGTACCATTCCATTCTAACATTCCTGAGCATCTTCATCCTTTGTTTCCTCAGCAACAGAACATGACCACTAAGGCTAGAAGGATATTTCTGTTGACTTTTCTTCTTTTAAATCTGAACAATAAAACCATCTTTGCCATTGTAACCTTCTGTCTTTGAGATATGTCTTTAACATGGAAATGGGGACTCACAGTTAGCTGACTAAGCTTTTCATTTAAGCCTTGTTTCATACAATAGATGTACATACAAAAAACAGCCTTAGAAAGCTGTCTTAAATAATACCAGTCCAGCCACATAGTCCACTCATTGAGTCTTCACTGTTATGACTGCTCACAGGTATAAAAAGAAATGACATTTTCCTTGCGTATCCAGAACTATGCTTCATTCTAAATTTATGGATCTGTAAAACTGTGATAGGCTACAATATATGCTATACTTTCTCTATGAATCTAAGGTGCATACTTTCTATATTACTAGTGTTTTTATAAAGTACCAGTGGGTGAGGCAGCAAAAGAACCTATGATACTAAAATAAATTTGTATATCTAGTTCTAAATTACACTTAATTTATATACCTAATTGAAATGTCACTGTGGTATACAATAAGATAGCAAATTCCGCATTTACTACAGTTTGTAGTACTTATGTATCATAAGCTAGGAGAAGGAGTATAACAACAGGAATGCATTTTCCTTGTCACCTGTATAGAAATATGCTTGAAAAATACATGGTAGCATTTTACAAGAGTCTTTCATTCATAATATTTCACTTACTTGTTCTTGAAGTGTGATAATTTGATCTGTGTGTCAATGAGAACTGCAAACAATGGATTATTTTCAAGATCAAGACCACTCAATTGATTTCTACACATGTAGCTATGTACTTTTAATATGGTCTGATAACCTTTACCAAGATTCAGTGGGTAACTTTAACAAAGTCAAATCCAAAAAAGTGCTTTGCCAACTCAAGTTCTGTCAGGCCAAATAGGCACTGAAAGCCGCCTTCAGAGTGCAGCACAGCAGCAGAATGATGACCTGGCTTCCTGAGGCACCAGAAGAATGAAAAACAACAT